ATGAACCGGTCGCAACCGATTGAGCGCAGCAGGCCACTGCACCCACCCGTCTAGACCGAATCCAGGGCCAAAGTAGCGTGTTGGTGAGGAAAGCCACACCTCAGCCACCAGGGTCCCCTTCTCCGGTCGTACGGGTCACACATCACGGTCAACGGGGTGCCTCGCGTTGAGGGGATTTGGGGTCTATTCTTTGCTGGACCGGACCTTCGGTCGACAAAACGGAAAGAAAGATAGATGGATAGAAAACATAACAAGAGCGGACAAAAGATGCCACCCCTACGTCAGAGAGCTAGTGACGTACGAGTGGCATCCCACCAGCGGGGGGTTACACCCCCTGTTGATGGGACAGCCAACTATTTTAATTTTATTCCCCAGTCAGCTCGGGGAAGGACGAAAGAAGAAGGAAGAAAGACGATAGAAGACAGACGATACACCAAAGCAAGTGTCGTCCATGTGCACCTGAGTGTAGATGTCCATGGGCAACAAATCGCCAGTGAAGGGGTTGCACCTCCTGCTGGCGGAGCAGTGGGTCTATTTATATCTCCCCGACCCACTGGGGGTAACTTGTAAAGAGGACTGAAGAGATAACTGAGAATAACTTTCTCAGAGAACTTTTATGATTTTAAAGTAAATCGATCTTGGGCGATGGGAGTAGACAAAGAGGATAATACAGATCGTTTGAGACCATCTGGGAAAAGAAATGAGTGGCAAAACTTGATCATCAGTGTCTGTTCAGATCAGGAACTTGAAGGAGGAGGAGGAGGAGGAGGAGGAGGAGGAGGAGGAGGAGGAGGAGGAGGAGGAGGAGAAGAAGAAAAAGAAGGAGAAGAAGAAGAAGAGGAGGAGGAGGAGGGGGGGGGGGCAAGGAGGGGAAGAGAAGAAGAAGGAGAGAAGGGTACAGAATTCCAGCAGATGGAGACACTTGCAATAAAAAAAACCTCCACACAAACGAATAAGCAAATCAAAATCCAAAGGGTGCCCAGCTATAGACAACGAAAGATCTTGTAAGTTTGTTAGTGTTTGAGTGCTTACTCAGCTGCTTCCCAGAAAGTCGAGACTGTTTCAGAATCTTTTTTTTTTTGTAAGTGTTTTACGGCGCTACAACTGCATAAGGTCATATGAGCGTGCGGGACACATTAAACATTTTCAATTGGTAAGAAATTTTGAATTTTGTGTGGGTGGCGGCTGAAGCCTACTCTTATCAATTTTAGTCTAGACCACCAAAGGATCTTTAACGAGCGCAACTTGCACACGAGCCCTCCAAGATTTTTCGCCCATGCCCAAGAAGCTGGGTGTAGAACTTTTCTACCAGAAGACAGGGGAGTGGCTGAAAGACAGCAGTACAAAGGAGCCAAGAGGAAGCAGTAGAACTGAAAGGCTGCAGAAAGAGGTGGGGGCAAAGGAGGTGAAGAAGGGGGTGGGGGCAGACAGAGGAGGCAAAAACAGACGACAGAACATTGCTAGAGAGCAGGAAAGGAGAAGAAAATTTATCGGTTGCTACCCGGATTTGAACCCGGGACCTTTGAATGAGGCCAACACCTTAACCTCTAGGCCACAAGAGCCCCCGTTATATAGTCTGCTAGGGTAAAGCGCAGTGCTTGCTGACGAGCAGGGATGTACGCTATACAAATATATGCTATTTTATTATCCATTATCTTCACTATTACTATTATTATTATGTGGTAGCTACAACACAAAAAATGGTTCAGAGACATGAAGGCTCAAAGCATCAGCAGCAAAGAAACTGCAGAGCTTCGTAAATGATGCCTACGAAGGATAGTGGTGATCAAGTGGTATGATCGAGTCACTAATGCAGAGATGCCAACCACAGAAAACCGAAATGAGTATTGGGAAATATGAAAATGTGTATTTTCAGGGGAAAATGTGTATTCCCCACGACCGACCGACCAACCAGTAGGCTAAAACAGCACCTGGACATGGATGGCTGGTGCCTTTATAAATAAATCATTGATGGTCGACCAACCAGTAATAGTAAAATGTTCAGGGTGTCCAGCAATATTTCCTG